CCTCCCCCCCCCCCCCCCCTCTTCCCGGGCACAACTTCACTCCCGGATTTCTCCACCAAGCCCCCCCAGCGGCACAAGGGGGACAGGGATGGGGTTTACGGTCATCACATGTTATTTTCTGCCGCTTCACCTCCTCAGGGCGAGGGCTCATCATACTCTTCCCCTGCTCCAACGTGGGGTCCCACCCACGGGAGACAGTCCTCCACGAACTTTCTCCAACGTGGGCCATTCCCACGGGCTGCAGTTCTTCACGAACTGCTCCAGTATGGGTCCTTTTCACGGCATGCAGTCCTTCAGGAGCACGCTGCTCCAGCATGGGTCCCCCCAGGGTCACAAGTCCTGCCAGAAACCCTGCTCCGTGGGCTCCTCTCTCCACAGATCCGCAGGTCCTGCCAGGAACCTGCTCCAGCGCAGGGTTCCCACGGGGTCACAGCCTCCTTCAGGAACCCACCTGCTCCGGCGTGGGGTCCTCCACGGGCTGCAGGTGGATATCTGCCCCACCATGGACCTCCCTGGACTGCAGGGGGACAGCCTGCCTCACCAGGGTCTTCCCCACGGGCTGCAGGGGAATCTTCGCTCCGGCGCCTGGAGCATCTCCTCCCCCTCCTTCTGCACTGACCTTGGTGTCCGCAGGCTTTGTTTCTCTTACATGTTCTCACTCCTCTCTCCGGTGGCTGTTTTCCGCCTCCCAACTTTTTTTTTCCTTCTTAAAAATGTTATCACAGAGGCATTACCACTATCACTGATTGGCTCGGCCTTGGCCGGCGGCGGGTCCATCTTAGAGCCAGCTGGTATAGGCTCGCTCTCTCTCGAACACAGGGGAAGCTTCCAGCAGCTTCTTACAGGAGTCACCCCTGTAACCCCCCCCGCTACCAAAACCTTGCCACATAAAACCAATACAACAGAAAATCAAAATTATTATTACTTAGTAACCTTGGGTTTAGAATGGGATAACCCTGGCAAAATGAGTACTCACTGAAGCATTGTTTCAGATTGCTATGACCATTAAGGGCCATAGCTTTAGCAAGTCATCTTAGTATCATTAAAGCCAATGTTGTAAAAAAAATATATATATACACCTACATGAATAGTTGATATGATTTGTGTACCTACATGTCTCAAGGCAACATTAAAATATACACTCTGCTTTGAAGACACATATCTTTCTTGAGTTATCCCTTTGAACACATCATTTGGGTCATAAAAAATAAATCTGTATTATGTATCACCTTGCAGCATTTCTAACAAAGTAAATGCAAGTGTATTTTAAAAGAAAAAATGTAACAAGTTATTTCATTTTAATCATATTCTCGTGATAAAGGAAAGAAAGGAGGAAAGGAGGAAAGGAGGAAAGGAGGAAAGGAAGAAGGGAAGAAAGAAATTACACACTAACTTGGCAGCTGACATCCATTCCAGCCTCCAGAAGCACCTGGACAACCGCTTTGTGGCCATTACGTGCAGCAAGATGCAAAGGAGTGTGTTTTCTTGTATTACAGTTCATCAGGTTTGGATATGCTTTGATGATCATTTTTACAACACGCAGACGTCCGTAAAGTGCTGCCAGATCCAGAGGTGTTTCTAGTTTGTTGTTCCTTATTGTAGGGTCTGTTAGCTCTTCTAACAGAACAGCAACTACTTCTGAATGACCATACTGAGCTGCACAATGCAGTGCTGTTTCATTTTCATTGTTCTGTTGAAACAAAACAAAAGCTTCAGAAATTCATGTTTAATCACACAACAGAACTGCTCAGCTTCTATAAATTGTCTCCATGGGATCACTAAACAGGCAGGGTTTGCAATATAATGTATGGTAATGTATGTTAAACGCTTCAGAATGACTCCACTAAAATTTTACTAATAATATATCAATACTTCAGCTTTGTGGCTCTCGAGCAGATCAGGTTCCTGTGTGTCCACATTGTTCCCAATCCATTTTTAACACAATGCCCCCAAAAACCTTGTTGCTCATGATATGCCAAAATCTGTAACCATCCTTGATTCAACTCTTCCTGAAATCATGTGTCCTTCTCTCAGAAATACTCTGACACTTATCATAAGTCTCTCTTCTCAGTTGAACTGGCATTAAATCATAGCAGTCTGTTATTAGGGTGGTGAACTTACAGAGAAAAACTGTAATGAAAATATATCAGACACAAGGCTAGTTTCATATAACACTGTAAAAGTTACTTTCAAAACAACAATCCAACCTTGCAAGAAGGTAAAATAGCAACAGTAGATATTAGAAAGACTTAGCATATCACGTAAGCAGCTAGTCTTCTTAGGGCTCCAGGGAGATGTATGTGTGCATTTTAAGGCATATGAGTATTTTTATGCTGTGATTGAATAAGTTTTTGCTTTATAAAGCAATGCCCCCCAAGTCTTTCCCCAAACACTATTTAATAATCTTAATAATAAATAAATAAATATTGAGAATAAGCAGTACCTTCTTTAATTGTTTTCTTCCAGTTCTGCCTGTATACTTGCAAACCCAAACAAACAACTTCAGGCAGAGAGGAAGGAAATAATTTATAGAGCTCTCTGAATTCTATATGCCATCTATATTATTAATATACCTCATCGAGTCTCTATGAAGCCTTAAAATAGGCTAGACACTGTAAATTTTAGAAGTATGTACATTGAATGCCTCTTCTGAGATATGATTTATAAAATGTTGTGCCAGTTTTGAAAATGTTATAAAAGTAGAAAGCCAATAAGCTAATATGTCATATAAAGAACTAAAAAATTAATGTAAATTCAGAAAAGATACTAGAGAAGGATAGAAACATAATTCTAAAGAAAGGAGAAGAGATAAATCTGAATCCATAGGTTGTATTTCTCAAGGAAACAAGTGAAGAAAGTTCTGGGGACAGAGAACTGAAAATAGAAAAAAAGATTTGTCTTTTGAAGGACAGAAAGGGTGAGAGATTCAGAGAAATGAGGCTTTGGCCTCTTAGTCAAAAGCTAGCCAGGATAAGAAAATCCATGTTGCACAGTACTGTCTAGAAAGGTGGAAAGGGAGGAAACCTTTTTGTTCTTTTTGGTAACAGTGTTTCTAATTCTATAATCAAGAACTTAATTCTTGGGTTTGTGGTTTTAACAACATTGCTGTCATGTTCATCTTATCTGGTAATTTAAAACAACTCAGATGGACCTGGGTGACAGAAGAGACAGATCAATACATTCAGATGAATTAATGCTGCAGATAAACTCTTCAGGTGTCTGCAACACCACACAAGATTCCAGAGACTGGAATGTGTTTCCTGCTAAACTGCAAGACCGAAGCTGGAGAAGAGCCAGGTAGAAAGTGAGAAGTTTCCATTGGCAGACATGGCTTGATGACTAATAAGTATTTGAATCATTGTGCATTATTCAGACCACCACATGGTCTTTCTCTATTACACAGACAGTAAGTTCAGGTTAAAATACATACTATCACAATACTACATGGCTACAATGATCTATCAACTACCTGTGATATGCTTTTTGTGCTCTCGTGACTTCTAATGTATCCTTCATACAGGACTGGGCAAAGCAATTTTTTTATGTACAGTGGTATACCCACAAATCACAAGCATAGTTTATTAGAATTTATTTTTAGATTTTCAATATTTTGTGGACAGAACTGCATAGATGAACAGGCAACTGCAGTCTAATTTTGTGTACAATTACCACAATTAAGTATGAAAATCAGATAATTGCACATAAAATGGCCAATTATGGTAATTTGTGCCTACAGTTACTGTATTTACATATCCATGGGAAATAGTTACACAAAGAAATTAGATGTATAACTACATCAACATTCTGTGAGGTAAATAGCAAAATACACATTTACTATACAATTGTCAAACAGATATATCTATCTATCCAGTAACTGCTTATGTTTGATTTTTTTTCAAGCATTTCTGGATATTATATAAAGTATCTGTAATCTTGTGACAACAGTCTAATATTGGAGTTTAAAAGTATTCTGATTAAATTTTCAGACATAAAAATTAAATTGGCTATGGCCTTTTTCTCAAAATGTAGTGACTAGCCAAAATTTCAGCCACATATAGACACACAAAGACCAACCAGTCCAAATCCCTGCTGCTGCTGCACAGCAAACCGAAATTTGCTCCCTCTAAATAAAGAATACCCAGCTGAATTTTAATGCAAGGGTATATTTACAGAAAAGTATATTTTAAAACAGCATGGTGCATAAAAGCATCTGTAAATCTGAACAAAATGTTATTATTTTCAAATGAACATTGTTGAACATTTTTGTATGGTTTGTTTGTTTCCATTTGCCAAATTAAAGCTACATTTTGGTTAATGACAAATCAAACTAATTCAAAATTTAAAAGAACTAGGTATCACTGAAATAAAATAGAAGAATGCAACCTGGACAAACATGATAATTAAATTACCTACACATATGCAGTCATAACAGGCATTGTATATATTGTGTTATTAGAGCTGAGAGGTATTGCCTAATTAAAACTTAATAATACAACATCCTTCCCTCTTTAAAATGTAAATTAATCAACTCAATTCAGGTATAAAAGACAAAATGATTTTTCACTTTCAAAGACAGAATTAAAACTTGTTTAACTGCCCTCTAAATTTATCTGCCTTGACAATTTAGTACTACTTACATAAAATAAATCACCTTGGAAGCAAGAGGTTTTACTGAGGAGAGAGGATAGTTTTTAAGTAGGTTTTGACAGAGTCTGCCATCTTCAAATTTAGGAAAGGAGGGAATGCCTACCAGATAGACACAGTTGGTTCAGCATTCCCAGGGAGACCCCTAAGATGGAGGAGGCTATGACAGTGTATTTTCTGGACTGGAAGAAAATTATCTTCCTCTTCTTACCCCTCACGGCAAGATGGACATGGATAGCTCAGTGTTGTGAACTTCCTCCTTAAGGCATTTATTTATAGAAGACATACAGTAAGAATAACCACCGCCCCCCCAACATATGATGATATTTTAAGAGTTGAAGTTATGTGATTTCCTCGCTCCCCAAAATGCTGTTACTTCTGACAGAAGTCCCCAGTATTCATAGTTAATAATATTTTAACCAAGTAGTTATTCATATGGCCCAATGGACCTCTTTCAGAAATAAGGAAGGCATCTTATGATTCAGCTTTAAACCTTTTGTAGTTTTCTTCTTCTTTATTTGTTACATGGGTCTCTTCATGGGCATGGTCCTGACATTTCCTAGCCTTTCCCTGAATCTGTTCTCTTCCACATACAGCCAGAACTCAGACTTCTGTTGCTGCGAACTGAATTGTGCCTGCACAGCATTGCATCTGCTCAGTATTGCAGGCTGTACGACATCATTTAGCTACTAAGAATGCGTGCCACTGCAAAATGTAGAACGTATCTTAAGGTCTATTCATTAGAGGACAGATTACCAAATACGTTATAGAAACATTTATTGTAGCTTGGCAGTCTGATAGAGCTACAGGAGATACCAAGGGAATGAATGGCTCTCATGAATATTATATAGGTCCTTGTGAAGCCACTGTTAAACAGTGGGTATATTTAGGACTTTTACTGCATAGTTGTGTAGTTCTTTATTTTTGCCAAGGAAATTTTAAAGCTCCTGCAGTCCATGCAAATGCTGTATAAGCAATAACGGCTCTCAAGTAGTGATTTTACAGACCTTTCCAAAGAATGCTCAACTCCTTTATTATCTAAGCATTTTGATGATAAACGTGGAAAGGGAGACTTCCTAAATCACCAAGCCATTTCTTTGTCATGTAATCCCAATGTCAAGTAACTGAACAAGACTTTTTTTATGAAAAGCTTTGTGCTATTGCCTCACTTATGAAAGAAGAATTTACGTTAAAGAAGGATGGAGCAACGGGAGAGTTTGAAAAAGTCTATCTATATACTCAATATACTCAAGAATAGTTAACTAGAGAGGAAAAAAAGATACAAAAATAAGGCTTTAATAATTAAAGAATTAAATAGACAAAAGAATAAACAATATATCCAAGACAGAGAAAGGAATGATCTCAGGATGGTCTTACTTCATCTATTAAAACAGGAAGTCAGTTTCCTGAGAAGAGAACGCCGATATAAGTTAATACTTCTGAAAAAAATAAGGAAGTTTGCCTGATTGATTCAGCAAGTAGCATGCCACTGTATTTAATTACTGTGGGAATTAAAGTCCTTTCCTGGATGTCTAGGGCAAAGGCTGAACAATGTTACAACAGAAACACAGCCAAGAATGAGGAGAGCTCTTGGGAGCAGCATTGTGACTTTATTGTCCATTCTTTTTGAGGAACGAAATGGGTTTTTACACTGTGCATAGATTTTTACAGTTTATGTGGAAAAATAACTAATAATACGTTTCTTCTTATCACACGACATCAATAAACCTGTCTAATTTGAAAGCCATGAAAGAACTAAAAAGCCCATAGATTTCCTTATCACGTTTTCTCTTAAACACAAAAACAAGCATTAGAATTTAGGCATCCCTAATATTTCCAGATATATTTTCAAAATGGATTTAAAACCCAAAGCATTTAAGACAAGACTAAATATTTTTCTTTTTTTTGTTCTGCTACAACTGCAATTGTCCACAGATAAAAATTTATTCATAACTTTGCTCACATCCAAAAATTTAGAAACCTGAGAGTTCATACCTATTAGATGTTTAAAAGAAGGTCTATATTTTATCACCAGATGTGTTTCTC